ACACACACACACACACACACACACACACACACACAAACACACACTATGGCCCAAACAGTTGTAAAGGCATCTGGATTTATTTATTTATTGCATAGTTTAGTCCTGTGGTAGGTGGGGGGTCTTTATTTTGTAATCTGATAATCTTGTAATCTGTAGTGGTTTTAGGCTAAGAGAGTAGTTTGGTGACAACAAGAAGTCTACCGATTTGAAGGGGGAAGTCTGCTTGTTTTTCTCTAATTTTAAATGGAAGCTTTGGATAGCAACAAATTACATTTCGTCACATTTCTTCTAGGTCTGACTTATAATAGATTACTTCTGGGTACCAATGTGCCATTATTGATCTGTTGGAGTGATTTGTTTTTTAGTGCTACATCTCACAAAACTTGAATTTTTATATGCGGATTTATCTGTGATCTTTTATATATCCAGCATCCTGCTGTGCCTGCAGAATGCCCACTTTGAAAAAATTGTTCAGTCAGAAGCCTTTTAAAGTTGCAACTGTGAGATAAGAGGCTAGATGATTTGATTAAATAATTAAATAAAGTGAGCTACTGTTTAGACACTTGGCATCTTTATTCTCCAGAGAAATTCCATGGGAATTAGATATAGCAGGGAGATAATCTGATTTTTTTTTAAAAAAAGAAAAGAGTGGTGGGCCCCTTTGCCAGAATAATAGGAAGAGGAGATGGAGAAACTGGTTTGAGATGGGACGGCCTAGGAGGCAACCCAATTTCAGAGAGGTGGAATGGAACTGGGATGTATCCTGGAGATGGTGTCTGCAACAGCAAGATGGGTGAGAGAAACCTTAGCACAGAAATATGGAAACAAGACGGTGGTTCTCTATTTGGAGAAGGAGTTTTTGAAAAAGAGAGGGAAATTAAGGACTTCTAAACTATGCCTGTGATTTTGTATTTAATTCTCGGCTTCTAATTGTTAGCAAGTTACTTAGCCTTTGTGAATAATTGCAGCTCCCAATAAGAGACTTATTAAGTATCATATGCAATGCATGTTGAATGGGTTAGTATTTGTGTGATGTATGTAATCCATGTGTGTATAACACATAAATAGAGATTTAGAGATAACTGATCTATCTACTGGTATGTATGTTGTTGTTGCGTTTATTTATTTATAGGCCGCCCTTTTCCCTGAGGGGACTCAGGGCGGCTAACAACTTGTATGGGAGGGGAAGACATACAATAACATAAAAACACAATATATAATTAAAATCAAACAACTTTCATTCAGCATTCGGGTGGGGGCAAATTATGGTCTTTGCCCCCAGGCCTGGCGGGATAGCCAGATCTTGAGGGC